AGTAGTAGTGGTGGTGGTGGTGGTGGTGGTGGTGGTGGTGGTGGTGGTGGTGGTAGTAGTAGTAGTAGTAGTAGTAGTAGTGTGATTCCTCCTCGTCCTCCTCCTCCTTTTGTTTTTCCCCTTCATCCTTGTATTCCCTCCATACTTCATTACCTCTGCCCCCTTGTTCCTTCCTCTCCTGCCTCCCCCTCTTCAACCCGCCCGTCCCCCCTTCTCCTCCCCTCCTCCGCGTCATTATCCCCCTCCCCCCTCTCTCCTGTCTCAGCTTTTCCTTTCTAATCCTCCCGATCTCCCTCTTCTCCTGCTGTTGATCCTCCTCCTCCTCCTCCTCCTCCTTCCGTTCCTCCTCCCATTCCTCCTCCCCCTCCTGCGCGCGCAAGAAGAGAGGCCTGGTGCGCAGGTCGGGATCGCGGGAGGGGGCGCAACGAATGGTGGTCGGGGTGCCGTTTGTTTCGGCGTTGTGCACACATGCACACCCAGACACGAGTCCCGCAAAGCGGGCGGTGGGCGGGCTTGGGCCCGCGGGCACCGTGGGCATTCAATCTGAGGTCCGCGCGGGTCCTTCGGATCGGCAATCGGCCCCCCTGACGGGGCCTTCGGCGCCGTCGCGGTCGCGCTCCGCGGGCCAAGAGGGGTGCCAGCGCGGATCCAAAAGATCAGCGCAGGCCTCCAAGAAATCAGATTCGTGTCTATTTTTTTTTTGTGCGGATAGAGCCTCAAATTGTTATCGTCTCTTGAAATATTCATTGGTGGGCGGTCTCCGTCAAGGGTGTGCTTACGTTTTCCTTCAGTCCTCAGGTTCGGCGTGAAGCAACTCGTTGTCTTTCCCACAGGTGCAGAGTGCAGAAGCTCTGGGGTCTCATGTAATGAGGCCGTGGATATCAAACAACCAATAGATGGGGCGTCGGGTGGGGCGGGATCCAGGATGCCCCTCGTGGCCAGGTTCACACCATGGCTCGGGGTCCCTGGTCCTGTCTCTTCCTCCTTTTCTTCCATTCCTTTTCCTTGTAGATAACCCCTCCCTGTCGCAACCCGAGGCCAGTTTTTAGGGCAGTCCAGGCGTTTCGCCTGAGACTTACTCACCAATTGTGGCCGTGAAGCTTAGCAATTAGATTGACCACAGCTTCACTGACGGAGGGCGGGTCGTTTTCAAAATGTGAATCTCGCCCCAGCGCCGCGCACATTCGTTCTCAAATTTGCAAGAGTTTCACGGATTGAGGGCGGGTCGTTTTCAAAATGTGGCTCCCGCCTCAGCGCCGCGCGCTTTCGTTCCAAACATTTGCAAGAGTTTCACGGATTGAGGGCAGGTCGTTTTCAGAGTGTGGCTCCCGCCTTAGCGCCGCGTGCACTCGTTTAATCAATTTCAAGAGTTTCACGGCTTGAGGGCGGGTCGTTTTCAAAATGTGGTTCTCGCCTTGGCGCCGCGCGCATTCGTTTTGAAGATTAGCAAGAGTTTCACGGATTCCCATGATCAGCGTGCCAGAAATTGCGTATTGGAAGGATTCAGGATTATGAGGGCGCTGTAGTTACGTTGATTCGCGGTGTTGAAGTCCCCAAAAATGGCTTTCTGGCACGGTTCCGGATCGTCAGGACGCAACAATCAGGTTGATCCGTGGCGTTGGAATCCCGATAACGATGTTTTGGCATGCGTAAGGGTCTTGAAACGATTGTTTTCCAACGAAGCATTTCCATCACTGGGAATGAACCCTTGTAGGGGCCTATGAAGAGGGAGTTTGGAGGGAGGGTTTATTGATGATTCTCGGGTCTACACTGGTCCTCCTCCTCCTCCTCCTCCTCCTGGGGCGCCCTCGGGGGGCGGGCAAGCGCGAGCCCCTCGAGCTTGCGATGCACGCCAGCTCGGTCCCCTCGGGACGGCGGGTTGTTTTCATAGATTGGAATGGGTGGCCCGGGCCCGTCGCCTCAGGTCGCCGTGCATTCGGGCCCCACTGCGCCATGGAGTTGTTTGTTCGCTCTTCCAGCATAATCCAGCATAGTCCCTCCTCCCACTCCGCGTTCTCGGCGCGCGCGCGTGTGTGTGTGTGTGTGTGTGTTTGTGTGTGTGTGTGTGCTCTGTGCGCGTGCAGCGCGCTCGGCACGTGGGTGTGGTGCGCGAGCGCCTTGCCCAAAGCGGTCTTCCAGTTAGGGGCGGGGTCAGGTACCGATTCGGAGGTTCGGCTACCTTCCCCTTCTCCTTCGGGCCACGGCAGCCATTCAGACCCCGTCGCAGGGCCATCGAACGCGAGACAACCCAAACAATCCCGCCTCCCCTCGACCCCCATCCCAATCACCGCCGCGCGGCGGCAAGAGGTGAGGCAGCTGTGCGAGCTTGCCAAGGAAGTACTGTCCTCGGAGTCCAACGTGCAGCCGGCGCCGCCGCCCCCACCACCCCCGTCCCCTGCTTCTCGCCTCATTCAGTCCAGGGAGGAGGGAGGGAGGAAGGGAAGGGGAGGGAGGGAGGGAGGTGGGGGGGAGGAGGGAGGAAAGAGGAAGGAGGAAGGAGGAAGGAGAGAAGGGGAAGGAGGAAGGAGGAAGGAGGAAGGAGGAAGACGGTGGAGGAGGAGGAGGAGAAGGAGGAGGAGAAGGAGGAGGAGGAGGAGGAGGGGGAAGATTAGACGCCACAGCACTCGGCTAAGGCTAGCTTGACGTTAATTAAAAAAGAGGGGGAAGGTAGGGAGGGAAGGTGGGAGGTGGGAGGGGAGGAAGGAGGAGGGAGGAAGTGCAGGAGGAGGAGGAGGAGGAGGATGAGGAGGAGGAGAAGGAGGAGGGGCGGCTCTGGTGGTGCTCAAGCAACTTCGTTGGCGCCCAGCGTTGACTTGACGGTTTTTTGTTCTCTGGTCTGGCTTGACGCCCACGCAGGCCTCTGTCGGGGCCCGCGCTCACGGGGGCCCAGCCAGACCCCTCCGAGATATCTTTGCCTCGGCGGCGCGCAACAGGGGAGTGGATTTGTCGCCAGGGCGGGAGGCCTCCTGATATTCCCACTGTTCCCACTGTTCCCTTCCCCTCCCACTGTTCCCACTGTTCCCACTTTCAACGCCCTTCCCACTGTACCCTTCCCCCCCCTTCCCCCACGACACTGGCCAGACTTTTACCTTCCACGATGGCGCAACGGCACGGTGGCCGCCAGGGTTTTTGCCGCCACGTGTGGGCTGCGCGCCGATCTCCTCGCTGCGTCGGCCACTTCGTCGAACGCGGCGACGGAGCGGTACGAGGAGTTAGACACCGCGCGGCATTGCGCGGCGCAAGGCCCCAACCTCCTCCCCGTGGTGGTGGAAGTCCACGGCGGCGGGCGGGGCCGCGAGGCGCGCAGGGCCTTCGGGGCCCTGGCCAAGCGGGTGGCTGACGCCACGGGGGAAGACGCCGCAATGGTTGCGGACCAGAACGCCCGGCGACTTTCCGCCTCCCTGCAGAGGGAAAGCGCGCGGGCGGCGTTGCGGCGCGTCCACGCGCTGTCTGGAGGGCGGGGTGGCATCGGCCCGTCTGGCGTCGGCCACGGCTACGGCGGACGCCGCGCGAGGCATCCCCGGCGCTGCCTGGCGCCCCCCGCCCACCCCCCGTGCCCATGTTGGGCAGCACGGGCGCCCCCCGCGCCCTTCCGCCAGCGTCGCACTGGCGGCTCTTTGTTTCGCCCCCACGCGCGCCGCCCAGCCCTTCCCTGGCGGGATTGCGGGTGATCCCGCAGAGGGCTCTCCTCACCAAGCCGCAGCGCGCTGGGCTCGGTCGACCACCCCGCGCCGCCCCGGGACGACCCCGACGGCCTTTCTCGGCAATTGCAAAACGGCCCCCCCGCCGACGTCCACTGCCCAGTCCACCGCTACGACTGCGCCGCCTTGTCGGCGTCGCCGCCGCGAGGTCCGTAGCCTCGTCGCTTGTGGCCCTTAGCTCCCTGCCTCTGGCCTGGCCTGCCTGCTTGCGGCTGCCTCCCCACTCCTCCGCTTCCTTGCTTACCTCCCTTTCCTTTCCTCGTGCTCCCTGCCTGCTGTCTCCGCCCTGCCGCCCGTTCGCCGGCCCGCCCGCCCCGCCGGCCCTGGCCTCCCGCTTGCGCGTTCGTCGTCGTCAGCGTGCTTTTCGTCCCTTTCGCCAGGACAGCGCTGCCTGCCCAGGACCAGCGTGGCGTCGCGTAAGGCTTCGGCACCCCTCAGATGCTTATCTATGCTCCTGGTTTATTGTATGGGACTCAGGCCGAAGGCCAGAGTGGAGCTCATGCAACGACCCCGACGTCCGATGAGCGACGCTGTGGGACATAATCCATAAAAGTTGAAGATGTTGGAAAGGCCTTCAGAACAAATTCTCGACGCCGATATCCCCAGAGGTGCATATCGTACTCCTGTTACGCCTGCCGGAAGAATTCTGTTTATGAGCATCAGGATGTGGCAGCGAGTCAGCGTGGACGACTGGCGCGACCCTGCCGACGGCGACAGCGACAACTTCAGTATCGTCCTCTTCCTCAAGGTGGGGATCGTGGATCAGTACAACATTGTATTCCGCCCCCAGACAGCAAGTGTTTTTTCTTCCACGGCGGCGGGTTCTGATGTGCCTGGGGGAGGCGAGGAAACGATAAAGGCGCGATTGAGGGTCGTCGCTGGCGTTGTTGCGAGAGGGCAGCCAGGCAGAAGAGTCCGAGGGATTGTCGAAGATGTTTCTGTTATTGTTTTTGTTGGGTGTGCTCGTTTTGCGTTTTTTTCTCCGTTTGATTTTTGAGGTGTGCACCAAAGAGTGTTTTATGGCTGTTTTGGTATAGGCGTGTTTTTTTTGAACTTGAGTGCGCCGAAGATGTCTGTCGCCAGGTAGCTTTGCCAGGTGGCGCGCCAAACGGTTCCTCGGCTCGCCTGGATGTCGCGCCCTGGCGGGGTTTCGCCCGTGTCTCTCAGCGCCTGGCGTTTGCTCCTTCGGTGCCTTGTCGTGTGCCGCGAGTGATTGTTTTTTTGCTTCTCCCCCAGAAACAGATTACCAGACCCTTGCGAGCCCCCATACAAAAGGTTTTCCAGGACAGACGTTGGAAGCACAAGTGGAACAGCGAGGGAGCATTGGACCACCAAAAAAAGAAAGACCGAGCGAACCTGATCGTGACTGATCTGAGTGTGCGTGAGTCCGAGTATTAGTGGGCCCGGGTACGGTTGACTGTGAGTGTGATTGGGCTTAGGTATGGGAGAATATGAGTATGAGTGGGTTTGAGTATGCGTGAGTCCGAGGGGTAGTGCGTGTGAAGAGGAATGAGCCTGACAGTGGGTAAGTCTGAGTGTGAGTGGGTATGGTCATGAGCTGGTGAGTATGATTCTGAATCGGAATGCGTCAGGGTCTGACTACGAGCGAATCAGAAGGTGGGCGAGTTTGAGTGTGGATGAGTCTGATTGTGAATGAATACGATGGTAAGTGTTTCAGGATATGGGTATGATGAGTATGAATATGAGCATGAATGAGTCCGAGTATGGGTAACCCCGAGCACATGTTAGTTTGAACGTGGATGAATTTGAGTGCGGGAAGACAGAACGCGAGCTTGTATGATTGTAAGTGGGCCTGTGTGAGCGAGACAGAATGTGAGTGAGAAGGTATGAACACGTGTGGGTATGAGGGACTCTGAGCATGGTTGTGTCTGATTGCGTGCGATGAGTGAGTCTGAGTGAAAAGTCGGGACGGAGAGGGGGATATGCGTGAGTGGTTGAGGCCCAGGCGCGTCGAGGTACGCAAGTCCAAAGACAAGCTGTGTGGGGCCGAAAAAGGCAAACTGCTGGAGAAATCCTCGCAATCTGATTGCGAACGGGACCGTGCAATACTCCCTGGCGGCTCCCGCTTAAAGTGCTGAAGCCAGCGCCTCGCCTGAGATATCCCCACACGCTATTCTGAAAGCAAAGGGTATCGAACACCCTAACAGGCAAACCGCCCGAGACATCCCCACGATCTGGGCGCGAATGGGCCCGTGCAATACCCTTTGCGGCTCCCCCCTTGGAGTGCCGAAGCCATCGCCCAGCTTGAGACAACCGCGGGGTTTGCTTGGCAAATGCAAGAGCTTGGGCGCCCAATCAGGCAAACCGTTTGGGACATCCCCACAATCTGGGCGCGAACGGGCCCGTGCAATACCCCTTGGCAGCTCCCCCATTGAAGTGGTGAAACCAGCGCCTCGCCTGAGACATCCGCACGCGCTGCTCTAAAATCAGAGAGAATCGAGCACCCAAACACGCAAACCGT